CGGGGAGCATTCAGTGAGCAGAGAGCTTGGGCTGAAGGGAAACCCCGAGGGAGGCAGGAACGTGTTGGTCTTTTGGTATCGGGACCTGTGCTCTGCTGGCCTGAGTGGGGTGTGTGTGTGTGTGCGTGCGTGCATGTGTGTGTGCGCGCGTGTGTGCAAGCACGCGTGTGCAAGCGCCCGGCATATCTCCTGACCACGTAGCCCCTGCTTCCCAGACCCTCGGTGCCCGGGGATCTGACCCAGGGATCCTGGTTTGTTGCCAGCTCTCCTGGCCTGAGTGATTCTGAGCGAACGTAATCCACGGAATTTCCATTTTCTCACCCGAAGCATCCACACACTAAAACTAGCTCCGCCAATCTGTGAAGACTGTTGGGGTGCAAGGAATCAGGGTCATTAGTGTCAAGTCCAACGGCACCATTGACTCAGCTGAGCGACAGGCGCTGCGGGAGAGGACACCAGGGCAATGAGGTAACTAGTGTGGGAATAGACGGTGCAACCCAGGCCCTGAGCGTCCGCACGACTAGTTATCCCGTTCCCACGTCTCTGCTGCGACGGGGGCTGCCAGGGCAGTGTGTGGCGGGGCTCTGACCTGGTCTGGGGGTGATCAAAGCCTCCCTGAGGGACCGACTGGTGCGCTGAGCCCCGCTGAGGTGACGGGAGGTGAAGCGGGTCACCATGGGGATGCGCCACTCTGAGGGGCCAGCATGTGTCTCCAGCAGGAGCACATCCGACAGTGAAGATGTGCGATCAGCCTAAACATCCCTCGATTAGGGACAGGTCACACGAGCCTCGTGGAAAGGTTGTCACCTAAGTTGTCCCTGAGAGCAAGAGCCAGTGCGCAGGGGATGGCAGAGGTGCCAGAGCAGATCGTCTGGACGGCTGACCCCTCGTGGCTGCTGTGAGGGCCCGGGGGGCCGACAGGATTCCGAATGGGAGGTGCCGCCGTGAGAACGAGGCGAGCCGGCAGAAACACGACGGGAGAGGCACACTGTGTGTTAGTACGTGCGCGCGGGGAAGAGTCCGGAGCATGCCACCCAGACCGCAGCAGAGGTCATTCCTGGGCAGAGGATTTAGGGCAAGATGCTCACTTTCTCCGTGATCCACCCTTGCAATGTCGGAAATTTTTCTTACTGTAAGGATGTATAATGAAGAGGTGCTCAACGTCACTGATCATTCAGGAAATGAAAATCAAAACCGCAATGAGATACCACTTCACATCCATTGGGATGGCGATTATCTAAAAAAAGCCCAGATAATAATAAGTGTTGGCAAGGATGTAGACACATGGGAACCCTTGTGCATTGCTGGGGGAATGTAAAATGGTGCAGGCTCTATGGAAAATGGCATGACGGTTCTACAATGAAACATACAACTATCACACCATGTGATCCAGCAATTTCACTCCCGAGTATACAACCGAAAGAACAGATCCATGTACACTGATGGTCACAGCAGCATTATTCATAGCAGCCAAAAGGTGGAAACAACCCAAGTATCCAACAACAGAAGAATGGATAAACAAAACATGGTCCATCCATACAATGGAATATTATTCAGCCTGAACAAGGAAGAGAATTCTGACACATGCTATGTGACACATGGAGTTCAAGACCAGCCTGAGCAAGAGCAAGACTCCGTCTCTAACAAAAATAGAAAAAAATTAGCTGGATGTGGTGGCACCTGTGGTCCCAGCTACTCAGGAGCCCGAGGCAGGAGGATCGCCTGAGCCCAGGAGTCTGAGGTTGCTGGGAGCTACGATGACGCCACGGCACTCTAACTCGGGGGGACAGAGTGAGACCATGTCTCAAAAAAAAAAAAAAAAACAAAGACATATGAAATGTATAGTTTTGGTATTCAGGAAAATCTCAATAAAGATACTTTGATAGAGGACCAAGGTCGAGACCACAAGACCCAGGGCCATTTTGCGGCACAAGGCAGGCCTGTGAGGGAGCCAGGATGGGCCTGCTCACCTGCCACCTGGCTCCCTTTGGGGTCATCAAACTGGGTGCTACAGGGGAGGGACAAGGAAGGGAATAGGGTCGTCTTGAGGTCTGAAGAGCTTGGAAGGGACCTGGGACTTCTGATAATGATGGCAGTGATGATGGCGGTGGTGATGATCACCGTTTCACAAGTGTTAACCAACAGTAGCAAGTGCCAGGTACTTTCTGTGTAATTCTTCAGTGAAGTGTCCCAACAACCCATTTGACAGATGAAGAAACTGCGGTTCAGAGAGGCAAAGTCACTTGCCTGAGGTCCCACAGCAGAGCTGGAATTTGCCCCCAGGTGCAACAGACTCTGGAGTCCAGGCTTTTGCCGGCTGCTAAGACCCTCTGGCTCTGAGGCTTCCAGAGTCTTGCCAGTGTGCACAGGGGCAGGGAGAGCAGAGCGGGCACAGGGCCGCCTGTCAAGCAGGGAGGATGTAGAGAACTTCTCCTGGCCCAGCTGGGATCCTTGCTAGGCCTAGTAGCCTGGAGCGCTCATCGCCTAAGGCTCCCAAGTCTGCTCCTTCAGGGCCCAGGGGAAGCCGGTTCCCAGCTAGATGCTTGGAGGCTTTGCTCCCCGCCCAGGGACTGCCCTGGGAGTTGGCTAGACACCCGGGGCTGTGAGTGGGCAGGCAGGGCCCTGCAGTTCGCACAACAGTGGTGTCAGCCACCCCCTGGGCACGTGCCACCTGCTCTGCCAAGTGCTTTACCGGCTCCCTGTGAATCCCCACCACAGGCCCACAGTGCGTGGGAAAGTGTGGGGTTTGCAGTCAGGAGGCTTTGGATTTGGTTCTGGGACCTGCCACTTAATGGCTATGTGGGAAGGCAAGTTGCTTGATGCTTCTGAGCCTCAATTTACTCATCTGTACAATGGGCATATTACTATTGACCTTGAAAGGTCATCAAGACGTTTTTTGCATCATAAAATACAGGTCGCTCATGGCATAGTATTTGGTACATAATGAAGCTCAATAAATGATGTTTTTAAAGATTTAAACAGCTATTGTATTCTTATTCAAGAAAGGCGGCATCTCAAGTCTTGTTCTTTACTTGTGGAGCAAATACCTTTGTGCCCACAGCAGCTGGTTGCTGGAAGCGTCAGAAACATCATATTAACGACTGGGTTGCAAACTTTTAGATGTTGCAAACTTTGCGACAGGGGAATCCTTAAGAGCAAACATTCATGTACAAAATCAGATCAGAGTGGAGTCGGTGGTGAGGGGCAGCTTGCACACCTCCCACAGGGGCTCGCCCCTGCCCGGAGCCTGTGGCTGCCCGAGAGCTCAGCTCTGCCTGCTCCTGTGCTCCTCACCCGCCAGAAGCACCAGTGGCCCGAAGCAGTTCCCTCTCCCCCTCCTCTGAAAAATGCAAAACAAAGCTAGAGGTGCTTCCAGTTCTAATCCTGGCTCCATCGCGGACTGGCTGCATGACCTTGGGCTTGTCGTTGTCCTGTGCCTCAGTTTCCTCCCCTTTAAATGGAGAATAACAACAGCACCATACTCCAAGGGCCATGGCGAACACTAGAGTGATGATGTGGTTCATGCAAAACCTGGCGCACAGTGAACCCTCTGCAAGTTATAGCTTCCACCTCCATCGTCACACGGGGAAGGGAGAGGGAGGAGCGGGCAGGGCTGAGGGAGAGGCTCAGGCACACGCTCCCCTACCCCATCCTCTGACAGCACACAACTAACTCCCAGCACAGTCGTCCTGACCGAGGCCCTGTGCGCAACCGCAGATGATGAGAGCAGGTTCTGCCCCTGGAAGCCCCTGGCCCAGTGCCTCGGCCACCTCGCCCTGTCCCTCCCTTTCAAGCCCATGGCACCTGGAAGGAGCAGAGGCCTGTCTGTTAGGGGGACCTGGTGCAAATCTCAGGCTCTGAGGTTTGGCCAGGTTGCTTTATTTATAGGAACCCTTAGTTTCCCGATCTGTAAAATGGGAACAAAAATGGCACCCCCCCCTCATGGGACTATGTATTCAGGATAGAATAATAAGTAATGCAATGTAAATAATTCAGCAATAAGAACAAGAAAACACTGACGGCGGCGGACCCAGCCAACTCACGCAGGAAGTGTCTGGGAGTTTCTTCCTTCCCAGGTCCCACCCACAGAGCTGGGGCTGCAGACTCCGACACCGGAAGGGGAGATGCATGTTTTCACTGTGACTTCCTCTGGGACTGAAGTTCGCAGTGGTCCATCCCACATGCCTTTTGGAACTGAGACCCCTTGTTTAGGTTTGCTCTGTCTGAGACCCCTGCCCCACCTGTCCCCTGAATCATAACCACGCTGGGGACGGCAAGGAGATCAATGAGGGACTGGCACAGAGGGTGCGAGCAGAGGTTCCCGGAGCACCCTGGGGACCTGGAGGTGCCTGGAGGGTGGGCTGGACAGGGGCTGGTGTCCCCTCCAGGTGGAGGGGATGACTTGCCTCCACATGGGTCCCACGTGGCACCTGGCACGGGGCAGTGCTAATCTGACAGACGCTAGTGGCAAAGACTTTGGAAAAACAAACCAACAACTGGGGAAGGAGCAGGGAAGGACTCCGGGAGGCCGTGATTGGGCCCCCAGGTCCTGTGGGAGAATCCCGGGTTCCTGAATGGCGGAGGGGATTCATGGGCAGCTCACAAGTGCTGTCTATGAGCAATCAAGTAATGAGGACCCCAGCTATGGGTGGCGTTAAACTGTGACTCCCCGCTCCAGGAAGCCCACTAGACACCTGACTGCCTCCCTCGAGGCCACTGCCTCTGGCCCCAGCCTCCCTTGCAGCTGCCTCTGGGCAGCGGTGATCTCTGCAGAGAGCGGGCCTTCCTCAGGGTTCCTGCGGCCCCCACTTTGCAGGGGCCCTGGCCTGTGCATCCCTGGCTCTGGCTTCCCCTACAAGAGGCCTGCCCATTTCTGGGGCACCTTCCTGCTTAACCTCATTACAGTGCTCCAGCCGGTTTCTGAGGGGCCTTCGGGCCTGGGTGGGACGGGCGGGCCGGCTCCCTCCCAGGGGGCCTGCGGCCGGTGTGGGCACACTCACCCAGGAGCAGGTTCATGAGCACCTCCTGGCCGGCCAGGGTGCTGCTCTTCACCAGGCAGAGGATGGTGCCGCCGATCCAGGGGATGCCGTGGCCTGTGATGCCAATGAGCTTGACCATGGAGCGGGCGCTGGCCCAGGACGCGGCCCGGTTGGCGCACACCCCCAGCCGCTTGGACATGCAGATGTCAATGGCCAGCAGGGAGTTGAAGGCGATGCCCTTGAAGGAGGGGTTCAGCTGCATGCAGTCCTCCTCAGGCAGCTGCTGTGACTGGCGCCGCTCACGGGCCCCGTCGCCAGCAGGAGGGGGCTGCACCGAGGGGCCCGAGGCCTTCCTGGCAGTGCTGCTGCGGGGCTCTGGGGCCCCCTTGGGGGGCTGGTTCAGGGACAGGAACTCGGCCCGGTTGAGGACGTTGTTGCGGTCCCGGGCACGGGCCCGGCTCTGGGAAGCTGGCATGGTGACCTCGCTCACGCCCAGAAGGCTGGTGCCAGCCCGGCTCTGAGGGCCTTCTCCCCGAAGATAAGAGCTGTTCCGAGAGCTGCCACCGCTGCCTCCCTGCCTTCTCCGGGGCAGCTGTTAAATATAGAGTGGAGGATTGTGCATGGCTGTTTACCTCCGGTTGCCACCAGGCTCTGGGGGACGTCAGTGCCAGCTGGGCAGCCAATCGAGCCCACCAACGCCGGGCCAGCGCCAATGGAGCCGCCAGGGAAGCAAGGAGCCCACAGCTGCGGCCTGGCTGCCTCGGGCCTGGGCTATTTAAATCTGCCAATGGCTCAGCCCCGGCTTTGGGGGACGCTGGGAAATGTAGTCCTCCTGCTGCTCTGGACTCCGTTGTGGCCTTGGCCTCTGACCTTGGCAGAGGTGGTCTCAGACTTACCCCTGCTTCTGCCAGCTCCTCTCTGAGCAGTGCAGACCCCTGGGAGCCAGGCCTGCCTGCCCCACCAGCCTGGCAGCTTGGACCCAGTCCCAGGGACCGGACGGTGGAGCCCAGGCCAGAGGCCTCTTGGGCACCAGATGGAGTTAACCACGTCACTGACAGCATCATCTCAGGTCCCTGGGGCCAGGCCCAGCTCCTCCCTCTGTGACAGCATTCATTAAGCTGGCAGGCCGGTTTTTCTTGTCTCTTTGTGTGTGTGTGTGTGTGTGTTTGTTTGTTTTCCCAATCAGTCTTGAATGCAGCTTCAGCCATGACAGTTCCATCAAATGGCAATCTGAGGATTTGATTTCCGTTACAGGGAGCGGGAATGAATCGGTTGGAACGGATTGCCCCTTGAAGTTACTCAGAATTTTGCAAAGGGGGAGGGCTACAGCAGCTTCAGGCAGCCCATAAATAGTTCCCGAGCACCTGGCACTGCACTAGGAGCTGGGCACACTGCAGAGTAAAACCGACTCCATCCCTGCCCTCGGAATCTCACAGTTCAGTGGGGAGTAATCATTCACATGTGAATGATCGCAGGGCCAGGCTCTGGGGCTGGTCTGGGAGTCGCGGAGGGCTTCCCCCAGGGAGGAGCAGGTGGGGAGCCCGAGGGCGTGGCTGGTGCGTGGGTCGAGCGGGGAGGAGGGGCTGCAGACCCAGAGGGCAGCCCAAGAGTGCCCAGCCAGGGTTTGGGATTTGAGGCAGGCCTTGCTGCACCAGCGACCTGCGGGAGCCCAAAGTCTCCACAGCCCTTTTATGTCTGGCGGGGCCTGGGTTCGAGAGCGGAAACTGCTTGTTGAAGCTGACCAGAGAGTCAGAAGTGAACTCCCTGGTGTCATGATTCCGGGTGGCCACAGCCTGTCTGCCCAGGCCAGGTGGAGGCAGGAGGTTGCAGCCTCTCTTCCAGTGGTGGAGCCCACCCAGGAAGCCCCAGGGCCACGCCATAGCCTCCCCAAAACAGGAAGCTGCCAGAGGAGGGGGTGTGTGTTCCCTGGCCACAAGGGACTAGCACACAGGCTCGAGTCAGAGAGATGGGGCTCGGCCATCTGTTGTGACTCTGCCACCAACTAGCTGTGAGACCTTGAGCAAGTCACTTCGCCTTGGTTTTTGCACCCATAACATGGGAATAATAGTACCCACCTCTGAGGGCCGTGTGAGTCTCAACGAGACGATGTTTGTCTCGTGCCATGTGGGGTCTCTGCCATAGTGAGCCTTCAAACCCAACGGGTTAGGAATCAACTGTGTTTGTCACACGAGGCACAGTCCTGTCCTTTTTCCCTGCCAAGTGCCCCCTCAGAAGGACTCACCCCAGTGGTCTGGCTCCGCCCTATCCCTGGCTGGGTTGAGGCCAGAGCCCAGGAGCCGTCAGTCTGGGATTCCTTGTAAACCCCCTGGGCCCACCTCAGTCCTCCTCTTCCTCTTCCAGAGTGTTCCATTCAGGCCACATGGCCACAGATGGGGTTGTCTCAGACTGCATCCTGTCCTGCCCTCCTGGATGTAGCAGTGATGACATGAGCTGCCCCATGCTGGACTCAGGACTGGGTACGATGCCCGTGGGAGTGTGCGTGTGAGGCACCGATGCCAGGCCATGTGCCAAGCTCTCCACGCGCGTCAGCTCATGGGCACCACATGACCAGCAGTCCCGTGAAGCAGTGTGATGTCATCCCCACTTACAGATGAGGAAACTGAGGCTGAGGGGGTGAAGGCCTCCAGCCAGGAAGCCGAAAAGAGAAGAGGTCCAACTCCTAAGTAGTCCCTGGGATGGGGACATGAGGGCCTTTGGGCTCAGACCCCTGGACCACAGGGACCTGGCTGTGTCTGCTCAGCGCTCTACCACGGCTCTCACCCCACGCTTCCCGGGTGGGGCCCATGACCCGGGGTAGCCTCAGGAGGGGCACAGGAGCCCAGCCCAGACAGGGGCTATTAATACCCAGAGGCTTGTGTCAGCATTTCAGTCTGGCTAGAGCCACTGGCAGGTTCTGAGGGCCATGGTGGGCCCCATGCTGGAAAGGGCCCTGGGGTTTGATTTAGCCCCAGCCCAGCAGACATGAGGACAGACTCTGGCTCACACCCTAACTCAGCCACTTTCAGGTAAGTGACCACAGGCGAGCCCTTCCATCCCTCCCAGCCTCTGTCTTCCCCTTTGAGGGCCGGCAAGAAGATTATGTGAAGGGTTCTTTCAGGCTGAAGTGGCTTTGGTGGCTTCTCCTGTGACCCTGAGACCTGCCTGCTCTCCTCTGTATGGAGCGGTGACCCTGTTCACATTCTCAGGTGGCCGAGAAGCAAGCACCATTTCTCACCCCACAAGCCTTTATGAGCACCTACTTTATGAGCACCTTTATGAGTCCCACTTCTCAAGAGTCTTAGAATTCATTCGTTCATTCAATGCTTTCATTGATCTCTTCCTGCTGGGGAAGAGTCTAGTTGGGGAGGAAGAATACAGACCCATGACTTAAGTAGCCAGTTAATAAAACAATGTAATTTTACCAATAGTCTTATTTTTTTCTTACTATCAAAGTGTTACATACTGACTGAAATAAATTCAATAAATATGATATAGGTACAATCCCACTACCTGGAGACCAACACTGTTAACATGAGGGTGATCAGGTGACAAGGGATTCTCACTTGTCTCATTTTCAATTATTGAAATATTTTACATAACCAAGTATTACTTTATTGATCAGAAAAGAATATATATTAAGCTACATGTATGTCATATATATGCATCATACACGACAATATGCATTTAAAAAGTATGATCACATTATGAGTCCTTTAAAAAAATAACCTCCCTTTTCATTTTATAATATAAACCTGGCCATGTTTCCATGACAACCCCATTACTCTCCAGTGGCTGCCTAGCATTTTGTTATGTGGATGGGTCATAATTTATGTAACCAATCCCTATTATTGGACATTTAGATTGTTTCCATTTTGTAACAATTCAAAACTGTTCTAGGATGGCCGTCCTTATACATATGTCCCAATGCACGAAAGCAGAATATAAATAAGTAGCCGAAGTGACAAGTGCCAAAAGAGCAGTGTGCTCAGGCGCATTCCCTCGGGATCTGGGGGGCTAACCTGAGTCACCTCCCGTGGAGCCCAGCTACTTCCGGTTGGCAGGGCAAGTGGCCAGTCCCACCACCTTCTTCCCATTGCAGAGGAGGAAGAGCAGGCCCAGAGTAGCGATGTCACCTGTGAGGCCACACAGCCGGCCAGGACCAGAACCAGTTCCTCTGCCGCTGAGCCTGTGAGCTGTCTTCTCTGTTCCCTGCCTGCTGGGTCTCATCTGTCACTGGTTCAACTCACTCACTGTGGGACACTTCCTGCGGCCTGCTATGTGCGAGGCCCTGTCCCTACAGACCGCCCGCCGAGCCTCCCTGCAGGTGTGGCCGCCCCTGGCCCTCGTTCCACATCGCCTTCCTGTCCCAGCACTGCTGAGTGCTGAGAGACGGGGTGGGAGGAGGTGGCTTCCCAGGGCCCACAGCTGGGACAAGGATTCAGATCCAGGTCTCGGCTTCGAGCGCTTGTCCCTAACCATTTGACAATACTGCCTCTCTCTTAAGATTAGCCAGTTTTCTGGCAGCTTTGTGGGACTTGAAGCAGTGTGGACATTGTAGACACTTGTTGTTTGTTGTCTTTCAACGTTTTAGATAGATTTACCACTAATACTAAGAAGCATATTTATCGTCGGCTCATACTTAATCCTTGCTATGCACGCACCAGACTCGGAGTTCAGTGCGTGTCCCTGCAACACCTTGTTTAACATCACAGTAACTTCACAGACAGGCTTTTCGTGCCCTTCACACAAAGGAGAAAACCAGAGCTCAGAGGTGAAGGGATTCTATTCAGGTCATTGAGTGAGCCAGAGGGGGACCCCGGGATTCAGACATCACCCCCACCTCCTTACTCTCTTCTGTTCTGTTCCTTTTTTTTTCAGGTCCACATCACTTTCTAAACATCGTAGACTTCACTTACTCTCTGTGTCTTTGTGCTGTGTGTCACCCTAGCAAAACGTCAGCCCCCTGGGGCAGGGACTGTTGTCTATTTGTTCACTGGTGGGACCCAGGTGCCCAGATGGTGCCCAGTACATAGTAGACGCTCAATAAATACTGAATGAATGACCGTCTGTGTGCAGAGCCTCTAATCTACCGCATACTTTGCCACCAAAGACGATGCCAGTAGGAGGCTGGTATTTGGGGTAATGACCCCAGAAGAGAAGGGGAGGGGAGTGGTGAGCAGCTGCACTCGGGACGGGCGGGCGACCTGGCTGCTGGAGTCGGGGGAGAGGGGGGTAGCTGCGGGGTCGCTGCCAGGAGGGGGAGGGAGCCCCGCGAAAAGCATTTTTCATCACCGCCTCCCGCCCCGGATCGCTTTCTCAGTTCGCATTTCTGAGGCCGCTCCTGGGTTATTTTGGTCGGGAAACCTGATCCTTCGCTGGGTTTATTTTAGCACCTTGGAGAACTCCCAGTGCTGCACCGATCCCGGGCCGCGCCCAGCCTGCTGTCGCCCCCTGCGTCCTTCCCCGGCCGCGGGGGCGGGGATCGCGGAGCGAGGGGCGGGGGCGCACCCGGGCGGGCCGCGCAGCCTCTGGGTCGCGGCGCCCGCGTCCCCCGCGTCGCCCGCACGTGGGCTGCGGACCCCGCGGACTTGGGGCGCCCTGAGC